AGGGACAGGCCGCCGGCCTTGGGGCCGTGGGGACGGGCTGTTGCTGCCAGGGAGGCTCACCGGGCTGCGCGCTCCGTCCCTGAGGGGCACAAGAGCGGGGAGGGCAGCTGGGGAGAGCACAGGTGGTGTCGCTGCGGTCACCCTGCCCCTGTCACACAGTCCCCGCGTTCTCACCCCTGTTTGTGCCGCCTGGGGTGCCTGGAAGTGTTTCTTGTTCATTACCCATGAACAGTGTATAACAGGTTTCACTGTTGAGCTGATACGAGGGAAGCTGTGACGAAGTGCAGGTCTCGTCTCCAAAAACAGCTGTACTGAGAGCAGTGGAAGCTGTCCTGGTGGAAAAAAGGTCTTTATCGAGCTTACGTGAGGAAAACTAGATCTGTGTGGTAGGTTACGTTGGCTGGATGCCAGGTACCCGCCAAGCTGCACTATCACTCTTCTTCTCAACTGGACAGAGGAGAGAAAATACAACTAAAGGCTTGTGGATGTGGGTTGATATAAGAACAGGGAGAGATCATTTGCCAGTTACCAGCATGGGTGAAACAGACTCAACTTGGGGAAAAATGAATTTATTACCAATCATATCAGAGTAGCATAATGAGAAATAAAACCAAATCCTAAAATACCTTCCCTCCACCCACCCCTCCCTTCTTCCTGGGCTTAACCTTTCTCTTGATTTTCTACTTCCTCCCCATGAGCAGCGCAAGGGAACGGGGGCTGCAGTCAGTTCATCACACTTGTCTCTGCTGCTCTTTCCTCATCACGGGGAGGACTCCTCACACTCTCCCCTCACTCACTTCTCAAGGGAGACAGACCTCCATGAACTTATCCGACATGAGTCCTTCCAATGGACTACGGTTCTTCATGAACTGCTTCAGTATGGGTCCCCCACAGGGTCACAAGTCCTGCCAGCAAATCTGTTCTGGCATGGACTTCTCTCACCTTGGGGCCACAGGTCCTGCCAGGAGCCTGCTCCAGCATGGGCTCTCCACGGGGTCACAGTCTCCTTTGGGCATCCATCTGCTCCAGCCGTAGACCTCCATGAGGTGCAGGAGACCTGCCTCACCATGGTCTTCACAACAGGTTGCAGGGGAATCTCTGCTCCAGCACCTGGAGCAGCTCCTCCCCCTCCTTCTTCGCTGACCTTGGTGTCTAGAGGGTTGTTTCTCTTGCATGTTCTCACTCCTCTCTCAGGCTGCAAAATGCACAGGTTTTTTTCCTATTCCCCTTTTTAATTACAGTATTACAGAGGTGGTATTACAGAGCCCATTACTGATGGGCTCAGCCTTGGCCAGCGGTGGGTCCGTCTTGGAGCCGCTGGCTTTGGCTGTGTCGGACCTGGGGGAAGTTTCTGGCAGCTTCTTACAGAAGCCACCCCTATGGCCCCCCCCACCTCAAACCCTGTCTGCACAATCCCTTTCTAGACTTCTATGCTTAAAAGATTGGGAAACGTTATTGTATTACATGTTTTTGCTTGCTTCTGTCTATTCTTCTTCATGGGTCAGTGTAAAAGCTGAGAAGCTCTTTCATATTTGCTTTTACATCTTTTCCTGTGCAACATGCTGAGCTAGCTGCCTTTGTGTCTCCTCTTGTCTGATTTGTACATAGTGGGTGCAGGCAATGTGGTTTTCTTTCTTTCTTGTAGTGGCTTTCAAATCCACTGCAGTTGTAAATACATTTCCCACTACGAGGAGTTTGTGGAAGTATTTTAGCAAAGTTTTATGCTTAATGAGAACATCTGAACAGAGCAGATGTAAAAACATCATAGGTGGAAGAATGTACCTATTCATAGTTACTAAAGCCATTCTTATAAAATGTTTTCGTTTATCAGAAAGACATGTTTTTGTTGTTTCTCTTGATCTGCAAATCTTCAGTTGCAGCAGCAGGTATGGCTGTTTGGAAAATAGGATTGGAGTGTGTGATAGTTTAACTTAGCTGGCAGCCAAACAAGACACAGCCACACACAGCCTCACCCCACCCTCACTTACCCCTCCCCTCTGGGAATCGGGGAGAGAATTGGAGGGATAAAGGTAAGGAGACTTGTAGGTTGAGAAAAGAACAAATTAATAATTAGAGTGAAATTAAATTTTCACAGTTTTAGTATGAAATTGATTTTACACTGACATACATAGGCAAACAAATTACTTTGTCAGCATGATTCAATTTTTGCCTTAAGATGCCTTAACAGTGATATTATTTAGGTGATTGTAGCTTTCCCTTTGGAACATCTGTCTCTTTTAATCCTGGTTGATTCACACTTTTCAGAAAAAGTCAGGAAACTCTCCCTGCCTTCTTGTAGAACTGAATCGTTTTGAATGAGTGGGGTGAGGGACAGCAGAAAGGGAAGGGGAGTTGAATGCTGCACTGGGAAATGAAATTGAATGTCTCCCTATGCAGTCATCTAGGATACAAAGCAAAGCCTTGAAACAAACTTTTCACAGGTCTGTTTTAGCTTTGTTTTATTTTTCTGTTATCTCATTTGGGATGATTCATTTCTAATTGTAATTAAAACTGTAATTATGACCATTGGCAGGTGAATCTTGTGATGAACATGTAAAGTCACGTTGAATTCAAGGCAGTGATAAAGCTGGCATGGATTTCTTAAGTTGGAACCCCAAATTAAGTTAATTTTAGTTCTTGTTAGTATTCTTATTCACCTGTATTGAATTTCTGAAGAATAGTTTTTTGGGGGGCAAGGGGAATAACAGATATTTGTAAATGATACATACAAGGAACTAATGATGCCAGAGCAGAGTGGTGTGGAAATCAAGAAGTCTGTGTTCAGTGTAGTGATGTGATTGTATATAACACACTGTTTAGGAACCCCAAAATATGTAACGAGAATAAAAGGAATTACTGAGTAGTTGATGAGTGAAAATAGTAAACGAGGCAGTGGTTGTAGAGGAGGTTGCAGGGGAGGACTCATGGAATCATTTGTGTAAATACAGGCAGAGTGAACTTTTCCTTTTCTGTAGTAGGCAAGTACTGTCTGTCTTCTGCAATGCATTGAATGTATCACTTGATTCTGTGGGTTTTTTCATTGTCATCTGATATTTTGAGATTTCCCCAACACTCTCCTGCCCCTTGCCTGCTGTAAGCTGGTTGAGTGTGCAACAAAATCCAAAACTAAGTGGGTGTCTTGTCAGCGAGGAAGTTACTTAGGTTTTATTTCTGGAATGCTCTAGTGAAGGAGAACTTGAAGTTGTTTTCCCAAATGAGAATGAATTAAAAAAGAAATATAGCAGATCTGGTAGCCATTATTGTTGCTGAAGTGATAGGAATATATTATAAAACATAAAATTGTGGTCTTCAGAGTGTAATAGTAAATCAGCTTTGTGAAGGGTGCAAGATGTGTGCAATAAGAGCCTGAAGTTGAGGGGGAGTGGATACTAAGAATATTAAAAAACATTCTAAAGAAAAATAAGCAATTTTTGGAAATGTTTTTACTGGGAACTTTTCTTAATCCAAAAACTTTAACAAGCTCTGCTTTTAACCTCCCTAGCAAACTGCAGCTTTCCCCAGTGTACTACGATAGCTGTAAGAAATAATTTATACTCTCCCTTATTTCACTATTAATGACTTGTTATTTCCTGGTTCATCAACCTGAATTTGGAATATTATCTATTAGTACAGCTGTGTTGACTTCTTATATACTGTGTGATATTAGCCTGATTATTTGAAAGAGTATTTCTGCATTATGAACTTTGCACAGAAAACTGCTAATCTTTTCTTCAATAACTTAAATTTGGAACCAGTTTTTTTTTTTTCTTTAAACATGGACATACTCCAGAATTTTGATAAATTTGTGTGTCTTTCAGTGTTTGCTGCTGTACAGCTTGGAGTGAGAGATCTGAATATTTCAGTTAACAAGTAATGATCTGCTCTATGTATTCTGTACTGAAGGAAAGATGAAATTCATTCATTATCTACTTCAGTGCTTGCTTTGTGGTGCTCTAATATTTTCACTAGAAAAGTATAAGCCTGACTGCTTATTTTGAAGATGTGTGATGCCTTCCTTGTTAGTTATCTTTCTTGGCTTCTCAGTTTAATCCCTTTTTCCTGCTTTCTTATTGGCAAATAATTTTAGCTCTTCTAGTAGCTAGGAATATATATCCTATGTTGTTTTGTATTTCTTTTTTTCTGTATTTGGAGAGTGCTTTCACTTACATAGTGAGTGTAGTTGTTCCCCTTTGCCTTAAGTAGAGGAGGACTGCTGGCAAGCTGTGTGAGATGGTATAGAATAGAGGTGGTGATGCGAGTGGCTGTGTTACCTAGTACAAATTGGCATAAAACTAGTTTTTCTTCAGAAGTTTTTTTTCTTAATATCTCTGAAACTTTTCATGAGCAGTGTTTACGTAGCTTAGCAATTGTGGCTGCATAGCAGCATAATATGTTGAACAGTAGCTTAGCAGCATAATATGTTGAACACCAATTGCTTCAACTTCTGGGCGTTACAGATCAATCTGGCAATCATTTGGCATAGAAAAAATGATTTATAATACCTTACACGAGAACATACTCAGAAGTCAATGTCTTTTGTTGCTGCCTGAAGATCTAGGCAAAGCTGAATCAATAGACAATCTGTAGTACACTTTGTTTATTACATCTTAGCACTTAAACTATTTGGCTTTATAGCCTGTTTTAGCTTATGCAGTTAAATTACTTGCTATATGAAGTTGTGAGTAATAGAAAATACCTAAGGAACTTGTAGGCTTGCAGGCAACTTAAATTTAATCAGTGAATATATGTATGAATGTTATATTTAAGTTAAAAAGTTTAATGTAGTGTTTGACCATTATTGTTGCAATTGCAGCCAAGAGGCAACAGAAAACATGGTGCATCATTTATCATCACTAGAGCAATTACAGGTAAATATAACTTGTTCTTATGTTCATGACTCATAAGAATGTGTGGATTGCTTGTAAAATTTACAATTTCTGCACTTTAGGGTGGCTAGTGGAATGGAAGTAGAGTACAGGATGTGTTTTCAGGAAGATGTTTTCTGATTATCAGTATTGCTATATTATTTTTATGTCATTTTGGTGAGCTTTCTTTTCTCTGTTAGCTTATTGGTACAAACTAATAAACCATACACCTAAGAAGTTTAGAAGCTTTGTTGTGTTTTGCAAAATATTGATGTTGTTTTCTCTACCAGCTCTTGCATTGGGCTCTTTGCTAGTTAGACAGTACTATAAGGAAGCTTTACATTCTGTTTATATTACATTATCATTTGACACTTGGTTTATGCAGTAGTTGGACTGCATTTTCATCCAGTAGGAATGTCTCTTGGAATTTCCAGAAATGTGATTTTTTTTTTTAATCTGCCATTTGCATTTACTCTAATATAAGAATTCATTAGCCAATGATAGAGGTTTTTTTCCTTAATACCTTTTTCTTTCATGAGAATTTCTGAGATTCTGTGTGCAGTAAGCTGGAGAGTGTTTTAAAACCATAAGAGATGTAATTTTTGCCTCTTTTTCTGTTGTAGGTCCTGCACTGTTTCTGCTTCGATATATCTGGTACAGGTGGGTTTGATGAAAATAGTGCTTAATATTTGTTAATATTTTTAATAGCTCTTTGATTTGATGGAAAGTTATTTTTAATGAGAGTAAAATTGAACACTTGTTTAGAATATTGTCCAAGCAATGCTTAGAGTGTTTTCTTTTCATAAATACAAGTTTTAACCACTTGAGTTGCAATTGAAACCTATCTAGAAAAGGACTGGTGTATACTAGTTTAACTTTTAGCTTTTATCAGAAGCTTAAGTAAATTTGCAGTTGGAACATCATCTTTCTCAAAACACATATTTGTCCTTCCCACTCCCAGTGGAGATAGTGCAAGTGAAGCTGTTTTGTTTTGTAGTTTTTTTTTTCCAGGTTTCACTTGCAAGTTTACTTAAGCTTCTGATTCTTGAGTGTGATGGCACAGCAGGATTTAGTTCCTTTGGAGTAATAATTTGAATTTTTTTTTTTCTTGGCAATTCAAACTGTCATGCAAAAACCCGGAGAACTAGTTTGAGTGACACTCATGTCATTTGTAAATTTAACTTCTCATTCAAAAGGCACTTAAATCTTCTCAGAAGCACAAAGGGGTAAATGCAATGTTCCTGAAGAATTTAATTTCTGTCGTTATACTACTCTGTTGATGCACTTGGCAGGTTTGAAGATACCGGTTCTCCCTTTTTAGGGGTATTCTGTTGGTTTTGAGATACATGGAAAGGGACATTAATGTGGATCCCTGTGAAACAATGCTATACTTGAATTCAGCAGGCAATGCTGTTTTCCCTGTTGCTGGTGTTCTACTTTATTTTGTGCCTCCTCCCCCTTTTTAAAAGCGAAGGCGGTTGTTTATGGGCTCCATACCATCATATAAATCTAGTTGTAAGGATTCAGTTGCAAACAGAATTAACTTATCTTTCTTCCCTCCCCTTGGTAGTTGTATTTAAAGTCTGATTTCTAGCTTTTATAATTGATTCTAGTTGCTATTTTTATATAGTTAATAAAAGCATTTGGGAGGGAGCTCAGGAGGCCTGTAGTTTGAAGTCCTGCTAAAAGCAGGGAGGACACTAAATTCAGACCAGGTTCTTCAGGGCTCTGTCCAGTTAGGTCTTGAAAAGCTTAAAGGTTGGAGGTCCCAAAGACTCTCTGGGCAACCTGTTCCAGTGCTTGACTGTCTTCATGGTGAAGAATTCTCTTCCTTATGTCAACTTGGAACCTAAGATTTTAGAATCTAAGAATCATTTAGGTTGCAAAGGACCTTTAAGGTCACTGAGTCCAACCATTAACCTAACACTGCCAAGTCCACTAAAGAATTGATCATGGTTTCTTGTGCTTCCACTGTGCACCTCAGTGGATGCCATCTTCACGGTAACCTCCTAGGTATCAGAGAGCTCATGTTTGGTTCTCCTGAAACTTCCCCTTCTCCAGGCTAAGCAAGTACAATCCCTTCAGCATCTCCTTCTGGGGTAAGTGCTCCAGTCCACTGGCCATCTTGGTGACTCTCCAGTTTACTGGTGTTCTTGTAATAGGAGGGCTCAAAACTGGCTGCTGACCAGAGTATAAAGAGTGATGAGTAAATAAGTAGTTCCCTTAACATGTGGTTTTATTCTGTTAATACAAACAAGGATGTTGTTAGCCTTCGCTGTTGTCAGGGTGCAGTGTTGGTTCCTGTTTAGTTGCTAAAACCTCCCAGGTGTTTGATGGTTGCCTGTCAAAGCCAAGTTGTCTGGCATGTGTATCTGGGGTACTGCTTTTGTTAGGTGTATGTTCTGATTTAGCCCAATATTTTTTTTTTTTTATTATTTCAGCCCTGCCAAGTTTTCTCTGCCCACTGGACTGGTTCGTCTAGTTAGTAAGCAGATCAACTGGCACCTAGTACTTGCAAGGTAACCAGCTTACATGCTTTTCCATTTTTGTACAGTATTGAATGTATTAATGCTTCCTCTCCTCCCCCTTGCCATCCCCATTGGTAACAATACTGAGTTAATATTGTGCTAAAGTCATGTTACTCTTTTTGGTCAAGACAAATTCTGGACACTTTCACAGACAGCCTTGGGAAAGAAAGGTCAGTCTGCTACCTAGGGGCTTCCATGCCGCTTCCCTTAATTTAGTGCATCTCTCACTCAGGTCTGAATGCCCTTCTAGCTTTTGAGGTAAAGTGGCTTGCAGTGCAGTTGTTCTTAAACACAAGTCCTGAATTTGATCAGTTAAAGACCTATAACTTGTTAGGATATGCAATATAAATTGCTTATTTTAAAATTTGTGGAAAGTGAATGTATATCCCCAAAACTTGTCTGCTATTTTATGTACAGAGGTGAAGTGAGCATTCCAAGGCTAGAACCAACTGTTCTGCAGTAATTTTAGCAGCATCAGTGAGATGACTGGCTTTTAAAAATAAGCCTGAATATGTACAGAAAAATGGTTCAATGACATGAAGGTAGTATGGGATGTTTTAGTTTATTATGTATCATCGATGAATATGATTGGTGGTTCAGCAAGAGCTCTGTACTGTTGAGAGACATATTGATTCTTTGAGGGAAGGGTTGATCACTGCTTCTAAGGAGACAATGTAACTTACTGGAGTATGATAGTTTTTTATTCCAGCTACAGCAATATATAGTTTTAGATGTTGTGGTTATAAAATTATCCATAAGCAACATCTGATTCTGGCCTCCTCTGCAGCAAGATTTTAAACATTTTTTCTGTTTTCTTATTGCCACTAGAAAAGAGTGACGTACATTTCAGTGACATGAAGGGAGTCTTATAACACTGATTTTTTTTTTTTTTTTAAATTAAAAAAATTGTTTCCCAATTTATTTTGATTTATGAGAGAGGAAATTTATGTCTGACCTTGCAGAAAAGCACCAAGAGCTCAGGTGCACATTCCATAGCAACTGCAAATGAACTTTCATACCCGTATTTTTCTCTTTCAGCAACGGTAAATTGTTAGCAGTCGTTCAAGACCAATGTGTAGAAATCAGGTAACTTAATATTATCTATTACTTCATGACCACAGTTGTGGAGTTTTGAGAAAGTGTTTTCTAGTCATTTACTAACTGTACTTTTAAAGATTTTTCTGTTGATTTTTTTTCTTTTTTAGAATGTTATGGAATAGTCTTAAAATATCACTTAGAAAGCAGAAGCTTTCTGTTTCTTCTTGGTTCTTGGCCATTCCCTATTTAACACCCCCCAACCTCCCCCAATAATAATTGTTACATAAATTTATTTAAGTATCTATCTGCATCTCCTTGTTTTTTCAAGATGTGGAAGAAAAATAATGAAGGTGCTTCAAAATACTAAACCTAAATCATGTTCATTCTAACCTTTGCTTTTCTGTTCCCCTTAGAAGTTCTCCCCTAACAAATGGAACAAGGAGCTTGTATTCTGCCTCTCTGTAGAGTAGCTGGCATGTATAATACTTCACCTTCTTTTACAAGTAGTGTGGATTGCTGTGAAGACGATGCTTTCCCTTTTTCTTCTGCTCTCTAACAACAAGCTCTCATTTGCCAGTTCAAGAACACATTTAGCTGTAGAATGGATCTTGATTGAGTGTGTTTACTTGCTGCACAAAAATCCATTTGCTAGAAGGTCAGACCTTCTATTTATATGTAAAAGAAGCAAGTGTATGGAAATTGTTCAATCAGAAGTGGTGTGAACACCATAAATATCAGCTTATAGACTATAAAATAAATCTAGTATTTCAACTGTATTAACGTAACTATATTCTTGCATTGTTTCTAAAATTGTAACCTAGAGGATAGTTACTAGATTTTTTTTTTTTTTTTTGCTAAAGTTACATGCTGAAGTTAAAAAATTCTAGTTCCAAATCCTGTTTTGAACAGCATTACTACTAAATCAGGGATATTAGTATTTATGCATTGAGAGGAGGGTTTCTAAAATGCTCTTCTTAGTTACTGTAGCTGCCTAAGGGTGAAGGCTACCATCCACCTTTTTCAAGAAGCAGTTAAATACTTGCAGGCCTTCGAATTGTGCACTTAAGAGTATTTTTACAGTGTTCTGTTTCTTCTGGAAAATTGCATAGTGGTTTTTTTTTTCTTATTTAAATCCATGAGAGTCTCTTTCTGCAGGTCTGCAAAAGATGACTTTGGATCCATAGTTGGAAAATGTCAAGGTATACAATACGGCAACCTCTACATCATTACGTAATGTCATCATTGCTTATTATTCATGCATTGCTAAGTGGTTGTGTCAGTTTACTTTAAAGATAATGTTGTAACTTCTTAAAAACATTGGGAAGAATCTTTTAATAATTTTATTTTGTGACTAGCTCCATTACCTTCCCTCCCCCTTTTCTTTTCATGATGATTAACATATAAAACCTGAATCTGAAATGAAATGACAGTTAAAATTAATGGATTTTGGAGACACAGCAGGTGTTGGAAGTGGTGGTGGTTTTTTCTCTTCTGGGATAAGCTTGTAGTGATGGTAGACACCCTGCATTTTTTGATGCAGTTGACTTTTTTTCTTCTGTTTAAAGGATTATATTTATATTTCACTTTTTAATAACTTTCTTACTTTTTCATAGTGCCAAAGGATCCTAACCCTCAGTGGAGGAGAGTGGCTTGGAGTCATGATTGTACGTTACTTGCTTATGCTGAAAGCGCTGGAACAGTGAGAGTGTTTGACCTAATGGGTAGTGAGCTTTTGGTCATTTCACCGGTAAGTGCTCTCTTAGATTAAATATGAATGTAGTAGAACTTTTTGTAAGGAAAAAGGATACAGGTACATCAGACTGTGAAAGTATAGAGTCACCTAATTAGTCTATGTGCAAATAATTTCAATTTGTAGTAGTAGATCACAAATCTGCAGTTTATGTGCAAAGTCACTTATAAATCTAGAAATATTGCTGAGAGAGCAATATGAGGATTTTGTTTCTTCTTGGTGTGAGAATAGAAAATTGCTGTTGGCTTGCTTCACACGATATATTTTATATTTTGCATATTCAAAGGTTGTATTAAACTAATTTGGAAAGGTGGCTCTAATGTATTTCCTTAGTATGTTGTGTTTGCAGACTCTCTAGTAATAAGATTTCTTTAAAATCAAAATAAAAGGAAGTGTATTTCGTTACTAATACAAACTATGAAACTTTTTTTTTAATACATTTTTATACAATACAGTAAATTTAACTTCCTAGTTCTTCCAGTAATGAAGAAACTTTCTTTTTTTTAAATCTCCTTTTTCTCTCAATGTCTGTCTGCATTTTTGGGTACAGACAGCAAGTTTTCCAGGAGACCTGAGTTACGCTATTGCTGGATTGATCTTTCTAGAATACAAAGCAAGTGCCCAGTGGTCAGCTGAACTGCTTGTCATTAATTATCGTGGAGAACTGAGAAGTTATCTTGTAAGGTAAGTGTAAATTTTTAATTGCTTTGAGAAGGCACTGTGAACTTCAAAGGAATTCTTTCCACTCTCTGAAGAAAATAAATCTGAAATAATTATGTATTTTTTCCCCCATACTTAGTGTTGGAACAAATCAAAGCTTTCAAGAAAGTCATAGTTTCAGCTTTAGCAGCTGTTATGCCCATGGAATAACTACTGTCATTTATCATCCTGGTCACAGGTAAGTGTTGTGTTTGCTACCTGCTAATAATATGGAAAAGACGAACAAAAATGACAAAATAAACATTGAAGAGTATTGGATAAGGAGGGGGAATAAAAAAAATCTATTTTAATACTGGTATTTAGTGAATCAGTGATAACAAGTCATGTATCATTGTACTTACGAAAGAAGCCCTAGTTGATGATTTCACTTTGCTAATGGAATAACGAAAATCAAGTGATGTCCTTTACTGTTTGACTACCTTGCATAAGCAGCATTTTTCAGAATGTCAGGAATAGCTTCAAAAGACATTTCTGAATTTGATGAGCTAAAGGCTGATGTATAAGTTTGTTTGGTTGTTTTTTTTTCTGTCTGAATTTGAATTCTGGACTTATTGGCCAGCCCATTTTCCCTGCTGTTCCGACTAGAGATGCTGGGCTGTGGTATTTGGAGTTGTCTTGTGATGAGTTTTCTGTACTAGCAATGTGTTGAGTACAGATAGCGGACTTGAAAGATGGACTAATTGACTGCTTGCTCTTGAACCAGATGTAGTTGGAATAGGTCCTGGTTAGCCAATTGCTTATGTTAAAAATGTGTCTGCCTTTTCAATAGCTACTTGTTATATAACAAGATAAACTCAGCAACTTGTTTTTCTATTTCTCTTCAGTTTTAGGAAATAAACTTCCTTCTAGATATTTTTCTTCTATTAGACCTGCTAGGATTCAGTTTGTCAATGCAATATGTTATATCACTGTATTGTTTCAAATGGAAATTAGATTTGGCTATAGAATACAAGAAGAAACTCACTTTTAAAAAACTTGTTCTCATTCTTCAGTGTTAAGTGAGCTATTCTATCTATGTTAGGAAAAAATAGTTATTAATGAGAAGTAGTGATGTTTAGCTTATTACTTTGACAGATTCATTTTGGTACAGTTTCTTCTTTCTACCTAGTTCATATCTAGTAATTCCACATAATTAATACTCAATCTAGACTTTTGAGGTAATAAGTGTGGGTTATGGAGCTTTGGTAGTGCTGTCCAGATGACAGAACCTACTCATTCTTTCCTTGGATCAGCCCAGGGTTAATGGTTCTTGACACTTGTTTCCTAAGTTATCTTTTCTGCTCCTAATATTAAGAAGTAGATTGATTATAACAGTGAGCGTTGCAAAGAATATTGATTAATATTCGAAGTATGGTCAAATAATTATTCTGACAACTGTAATAGATGGATGTGCTTGCTTTTTGAAAAATTTTTGGTGCGTTTCTGAGTAAATTATGTCAGATCTATCAATGTCTTATAATGGAAGAACCCATCAACAAGAAAATGCATAGAAAATCAGCTAGCGTCTGACAACCAGATAGTATCGACAATTGATTTGTGCGTGCTAATGGTAACTTCTTGCCACAGAAGTTTAAAAGAGGAGAAGGGAAAAAAAAGGAGGGGCAAAAAATTCAGGTTATGTTTTCCTTCTTTTCTCCCACCTCCAAGAGAAGTAATAGCTTTTCTTTTTCCTACTCTTTTTAGAAGATCTTAGGTTAATGTTTTTAAAGCTTGGTATTAGTGTGAAGTAAAAAGAGTAGGAGACAATGTTGTTCTTTTGCTTAGAACAGTTTATTCAGAATGTTAGTAAGTAAGGTTGTATTTTTACAGAAACTTGTGGTTGGCACATTTTTTGTTGTTGTTGTCTGTCTTCCATATTTTCTAGGGAGAGAAATGCCCCTTCCTTACATGAAAAGATGTGATTATTTCTGCTGCTGAGTGATGTATGTGACATACACGTTCAGGAATTACTTGTTTGTACCAGGAAATATTATGACTCATTCCATGAAAATAGAAATAGTCAGGTGAAGTCCCTTGTGATCGTATTATCTCCTGCTACGTGCAGCTTGTTGGCTTCCTTAGTAAAGTTGAAAAAATGATACTTGAAAGAATGCACACTTGGATGTAATGGATGGAAAGCAGAAAGAACCAATGTTTTGCTCTTCATGTAGGCAAGTCTTTTCTGTTTTGAATATACTCTGTGGTAGAAAACTTCTAAATGTGACATTAGAGAAATCTACATTCATGAGCAGAGTCTCTTGCTGAAATTGTCTTGTTATTCCAAAAAAAAAAACCACCCCAAAACCAAACCCAGAAGGACTTCAAGGGAGGCAGTTTTCTTAAATTAGGCATTGAAGGAAATTGTAAATATATATGAACACTTCAGAGTTTTCATTTTCAATAATGTGAACTTTTATCACTTAACTTTGTTCAACTTTTGTCACTTTGTGCTTTCTTGCACTTCATTAGTTTCAGATGGTGAAGTTCACAGAATCACAGAATGGTAGGGGTTGGAAGGGACCTCAGGAGATCATCTAGTCCAACCCCCCTGCCAAAGCAGGTTCCCTACGGTCCCTACACCAGGTCACACAGGAAAGCGTCCAGGCGTGTTTTGAACATCTCTAGAGATGGAGACTCCACAACCTCTCTGGGCAGCTTATACTGTTACGCTGTTCTATCTCCACTGCTTGTAAGCCTTGACTTACTGCACTCTTTATTACTATGTATTTGTTAATTACCTATTACAGTGCAATAAAATAGCACTTAAGAGCTTAATACACTTATTTTTTTCAACTAGATATATGATAATTGCAAAGAGAATATGTCAGTAGGGAATGTAGCTGAATCTGCAGGAAAGCTTGAAACAACAGCTGTGGGGAAAAAGTCTAATGATGAGTTTCACTACTGTTGAAAAGTGAATGGCATCTAATACAGATGCCTAATGTTGGCATTCTCTTGTGGTCCAGCCTTCGTCTGTGATGAAATTTATGGTGCACTTGAGTTGACAAAGCTTAAATGTCTGCTTTGGTGTGAGCTCTCTGTAGGTTCTAATGGAAGGTTCAACACCTGCTTATTTCTATCTTAATCTGGAACTTAATGTCTGTCTTTAGGGTTGTCTGCAGTTGCTACAGAAACTGCTTGATATTAGAGGCTAAAATTTGTGATGACTATAGGAGGTGAAGGGTTTTAGATTCAGTTGGAATTTGCTTTTTGTACTAAAACTGAGTGAAGAATTGCTAGAAGTATCAAGTTTTTCTTGGATGTCTCAATTGAACTTGCTGTTCTTGAGACCAGTATTATACCAGCTATCTTCAGCCCAACTTTGTAGAAACTTTTGAAATAGAGTACACTTGAAGTACTGCAAGGGCAGACGTTTTTTGAGACTGGAGGAACCTCTGGAGATCATCTAATCCATTCCCCCTCACAGCAGGGTCAGCTAGAGCAGGTTGCTTGAAGCCATGTCCCTGTAGTCCAGGACATGCACATCTGTATCCTCCCTTAGGATGGGAGTGTCATGGCCTCTGATGTGCAAGGGTAACTGCTCCAGTGGGTGCTGGGGTCTGAGCCTGGTGGTGCATCACCACAATTGGTGAGAACATGTACAGAAAGAATTTCTGGCCATTGTTTTCTGCAAACTGCTGCACAAAACGCTGCATCCGTTGACTGTGCTCTAGGCCTGGGACTTATATAGGTCTCTTTCTAGGACTTGTTGGAAGGGTTGCTGGTGTTTACTAATCGAGAGTCATCTGGAACAGAAGCTCAAAGCACCTTTGATCAGGAACAGCTGGCAGACTTTGCTAAAAGCTTTTAGAGCTTGCTAGCTAGCTCTTTCTGGCAATGGCAGGCATAGTGGAGTTAGTTCCTCAAAGACTTCCCAGGAGTCCTCTGATGATCCCAGAAGTATGTAGAAGATCAGAGGATCTAGAAACAGAGCACAGAAACAGCTGCACAAACTGCTGCGTGCTAGCTGTGTTCTGTGGAGAAAATGTGCAAACCCCAAAATTAGTTAAGATTTTAACAGTTTAAATACTAAAGGATGTTGTACTGATCTTGATGCCCATAACAGCATGATAGACAATGCTTTCCCTTCTAAGGAGTTACTATTAAGTGTCATTTATTAAATTAATGTTGCTTTGTCACCCATTCGGAGTGGTATAAAACTACAGCTATTATGTTATGATTTAAGAACCCAAGTATTTGGACAGGAAAATTAATTTTTCACATTACTGGGACAAAAGAAGTTGTTTGCATGATATCTTCATCTTCAGACTGAGGCTAACTTTTAAAAAAAAAGAAGTAAACAAGAAAAAAACCCTCTGCTGTTGCTGCTCCCAGTCTTCCTGTCAACTTTTATTTTGGAGTCATCTCCTGTCTAGTCCTGAAAAAATAATTGGTAAACAAGGCCAGATCTTTGCTGAGGCTCTCAAGAGTATCTTTCATTTTCTTTTGATGCCAGTTGTGTTATTCATCTTAATAGTTTCTGCCCCTGCTGTTGCATTTTGCTCTCTGAAAAGCTTTCTAAAATTTTAAGTATGTGCTGCCACGATGAATTTCACAGCAGTCCTGGGAAAAGGCTTTTTGTCTTGAGGTTTTGTGTTTTGTGTGTGTCTAAATTGATACGACATCTTCATTCTGCTGTCATTGAGTTTCATTTATCTCAAAAGATACTTCTGAATTATAACTATGTTGCACTGTATGTGACAGTTCTTCCAAAATTTCTTTAGAAAGATTTATCTTGATGGAGTTTTTGAGAGCTTCTTTGGGCAGTTTTGGAGCTACTGCTGTCACTATTATTGACAATTCTTCTCTTGGTCTTTGTGCTGCTATTTGTCTCTTAGTCACCTCTGGCACAGTGTGGTCAATTGTAATTGAGTTCTAGTCACTGCTGCTGTTGAAATTTTTGATTTAGTGGCATGTTGCAATGGAAGCTGGAGCTTATGGAAGAATTTAGGTGCCTATGGATGGACAAGACTATAGGTAATTTAATCTTCCAGAAGATTATACCTGCTCTCTCTTGGTTATTAGGAATTAACAGCTGTGTTATAGCAATTTCATGAAGTTCTTGTTTACTGATTTTTTTTTTTAAATTTTATTTTTTTTAGAGCTTTTCTTAGGTCAGGCTGTAAAAGAAACACATGTGAAACTTACCGTGCTAAAAAAAAGTTAGAAACTTCATCGTGTTTTGCTCTCTTAGACAACTCTTTAAACTACGAAATAACGAAAACTAAGAACTTTAACAGACTGTAGGCATCTGTGGTGTAAGTCATCTTGCTGTATGTTTGTGAATAGCATGAGACCTGGGAATGTTAAATAAGTTTTACTGACCTCTTAAAGGAGATTAAAAGTGGAAGGAAATTTTTGTCTTTTCGTTTTTTTTTCTTTTTCTTTCGGCTGACTTACAGGAAATGTGTTGAAATACGCTCATATCAGAGCTGGGAGCTGTATGATCATCAGCCACTAGGTGGTAGAGCATTTCAAGAGTAATGCAAACCTTGAAGATTGGTAAAGGAGCGTTCCTAGAGCTGAACTTCTGGCTTTTCTAATCGGTGCCTTTTTTACAGATACTTTATTTTTTGATGGGTTGTTCACTAAAATTATGCTTCCAAACAAATTTAGACATCTGTTTTCAAAGTTTTGGTCAAACTAATCATAAGTTAAATATAAAACTGCTTCTTAATAGGGTGAAAGGGCTTAAAGGGAAGACATTTTCATATGTTTTAGTGGTAATCAGCAATAATTGTAAGTTCTATCAAAGTTTTTAAAATATCATCTACTGTGTGTAATGAAATTATTGCGTATATGTTTATAATTGGTAGAGTGGCTTTAGAAAATAAAATTGAAAAGCCTTGATACATTTGGTTCCTCAATAAAAGAGAAGTAGCTTTTGTACCACATATGAATAAATGGTAAGCTAATGCTTAAGCAGAATGACCAGAACTTCTCATAAGCTTAAGCTGTAGTTCTTCCCCACCCTCAAAGTTATATTTTGAGGGTAGGGAAGAAACTAAAATTTGTAGCCAGACATATTTTATTTTAAATGTTGGGAATTATGCCTTATTTGGAAAGCTAGAGATGAGAACGGATAGCGATAAATGCCATAAATAACAAGTGTTACTCAAGTAATATTTAAATCTTCTCGTCTGTGAATAAGCACCCTGAAATTTAAAGCTTATTTGGGCTGTTAGATATCTTAATATATTTAGTCTTTTTGTTACTGCAACCAAACTGCTACAGTTCTGACCTAAGAGAATTAAAAAAAAATATATATGTGCCAGTATATGAAACCATAATGTGCGTTTATATATTTTACAGACTCCTGCTCGTAGGAGGCTGTGAAACGGATGAAGATGGAGTATCTAAAGCAACTGGTTGTGGGATATCTGCTTGGAGAGTTCTGTCAGGCTCTCCCCATTATAAACAGGTCACTAGTTACAAAGATGACATTAGAACAGTAAGTATGTTTCCTCATTTTGTTATAGGTGATTATTGTCACTGGCAGAACTGTCTAACTGGAAGTTCAATGTGAATCTGTTCTTGAAAGAAGAATTTAATCAATGTTTTGCTATTTTGTAAGCTATGATATGAACTTCTAATAAGTTATCTCTTCCCCCCCAGCATCTGTCTATTTTTGCTTTTTCTGTGGTATGACTTGAACTTTCATGTTTTTGATTGTCGCTTGTGGTTTAAAAAACCCCAAAAACCCAAAACAACAAGAACATAAAATTGTAGTGCAGCAGAAATACCCAAACTCCTTAGTTGTGTACTGGGATATGTTACCTGTCTTTGTTGTAAAAAAATCCTGTTATTTTTGTCTTTTTATTACTTCATAACAAAAGGCAGCCCACCTGAAATAAGTATTTCAGTTTAAGCCTGACTCTTGGTTTCTTTTGCTTCTAGTAAAAGTAATTGTTTGATTTGGTAACAACTACTATATGGGTATACTGAAATCAAATTACAGTATACTAGGATAAATTCCGGTATATACCATTAGATAGGTATTGCTTAGTATTAAAAGCAAGCTGTTAATTTTCTTGCAAATGATAGTGCTTTTCTGTGACATGATACATACTTAAAGAAATGGCCAAAGATTTACAAACAGTGTTTTATTATCCTTACATAATTTAAAAATAGGCAGTCTTACAGAAGTTTAAAGAATCCTGCAGAATTGTTTTAGTACTTTAGATATGGCTTAGTTTTTGGTGCATAAAACAGTGTATGAGATTGTCTTTCATTGTATGATATGTTTCTGTTCTTACAGGCACAGAGAAGAGGAATATTAAAGATTATGAATTTAAGATTTTACAACAGGCGGGGAACAGAACAGGTATTAAGGTCCAGGTCTACCTCAGAAATGTGGTTTACTGATGTAAATGTCTATTAATGACTGCCTGAGAGACTGATTGAATGTAGTTTTTAATTGATGCGTATCAAGAATTAACATTTCTATAAAACTTATTAAAATAATAAGCTTTTGGCATTAAATGGAGTAGCTTGCCATTTATTTGGCTTTTAAAAAAATCCAATTAGTTCATCTGCTGAAGCTTGAATCCTGGATTTTCCGCATACTGGAAGGAACAGGTCTAGAGATGCAAAGTTCAATACTAAATGTAAACTCTTAATCAAAAAGGAAGGTGTAGAAAGCCACCTAGTTGTTTATTAATGAATGTAGTGATCATAGGATGTGAAGTGTATTATATATTCTACAAGAAGAGAGTAGATGGTGACTTTGTTTCTCAAGTGTGTGTCCAAGAAAGAAGTAAGAGGAACTCCAAAATCCAGCCTTCTGCACTACCCTACTCCCACTAGAAAACAAACAAAAGCCCCTCACCTTATAGCCCAAAATTTTTATACAATGTGGGGAAGAAAAAATGAGTGGATTCAAACTAATCATTCATGGCATAAATAGAACAGACACAAAGACTTATTTTTTACAGTCTGTTATGAGCCACTATGGAAACATTTTGCTAAGTACCTTCAAAGGTTTATTATGGGTCATGCTTCTACCAGGACACATGCAAACCTAATGAAACTAGTGATCAGAATCAAATTGTTCTTAACAAACGCTGGGTATGGGTCTTGTGTTCTCCTCTCTCCTGAATGAGTGAGTGTTAAATCTTGAGCGTCATGCTGAGGTGTAGGTGTGTGCTTTCTGTTTTTCTAAGGCTTGGACACAGTGATCATGACTTTCTTGTACATGCCTTAGGAACTACCCATGCAGTACTGCACCACCTTCCCTTGTGCCTTGTCTGCTGGTTGTTTTTAATCCCCCTTTCCCTCAAACAAAAAAATTTGTTTTCCCTTCTTTTGCTTTACAAGGGAGGAACAGTAAAGAATCTGTCTACTACCTTCACTGTATCCTCCTGAGAGGAAAAAATGGCTGGTCTGAAGTTACATGGACTTTGGAAATGACCTTAATAGATTTTTGGGATGTTTAGGTGACTGGTTAAAAGAAGAAATTGCATACTTGATTGGAAAGGGAAAAACAGATCTTTCTGAATCTCTCTTAAGGGTGGAGAGGGGAGAGATTTAATTTCCTTCACTGAAAAAAATAAAAGTCTGAAGTAAACTTTCTTTACTGGAAGGCTAGTACTAAGTGTAGCTGTACTAAACTTCAACTTCACTGCACTTGCCAGTACTAGATTTACAAAGAAAAGCAGAGATTGCTGTTAATCCTTAAATGTTTTACTCAAATTTCAGAGATCATGGTTTGAATATGAGAGTTTATATTCTTAGTGGGAAATTGGCAACAGTGTTAATGTATGACAAGCACAGCAGCTAGAGGACTTGTATATTAGAACTGGCTATATTGGGATTTGATTGCTAGTGTTGCTAACTTAAATGACACTTAAAAAATGTGAAGAGCCAACCTGCTGAGGTTTTCAGTATCCTGTTTTGCAGTTCCCTGAAGCTGACAAGCTGTTTACTGAGGCAGCATTGCCTGCTTTGCCAAAGGACTGATTAATCTCTATAGATAACAATGCTTGGGCGGTAAATTTGAATGTGTTAGTGGCCAGCCAACATCTAAATTTATCAGCAACAGCATTATTACTGACTACTGAGTAAATGTTTAACCCTTGTTGAGATCTGTGATGCATACCACTGACCATTTGTCTGAATGGGTTTTATATTTTAGCTATATGTTTTTAAGTCCTTTAACAGTCTCTTGTTCTTTGTCCTCTGTGCATGCAACTTGGTTTGTAGAGAAAGGATTGCCATTAGTAGGCACGTACAATTCCTTGGCAAGCTATAATAGGCATTGCAGTACTCTAGCTGCTTAAGAATATAATTGGAGAATACTTAAGAATTATTTATAGTAGAAAAAATTGATAATTGATTTTAAAAAAAGTCCAAATCTTAATAATGTTCTCCTTTTCAATTAAAATCACATTTTAAAGCTGGATTTAAGCAGTGCTCTCAATAGCTGCAAACCACTGTACAACAGTGAGCAGATTACTTGATCATCATTGTTTCTGTGGCATAGCTAGAACTTAAAACAGCCTAAGAAATAAAATAAAAGCAATAAAACTCCCCAAACCCAAACAAACAAACCAACTCTAAAATAATAGCTACCTTCAAATGATACTTAACACCAATGTGCTGTAGAAACTCCATAGACTTCCCAATCATATAGATGTCTAGTAACTTTTCTGTACTTCATTTATGTTGAAGTGTTTTCCAAGAGGGGAGGTGCTGGCTTAAAAATTGAGTAGCTGCAGACTTGGATAGCTCTCACATTACTGTAGGTTGAATCTGTATTAAAAACTTTTAAAAAGTGAATTGCACTAACAAAATTAGATTTTATAAATGATATAAATTTGGGGAATATCATCCTACTGTCTTTCAGTGAAGACTAGACTCTCTGAGAACCTAATGATCTTTCTGAAAACATACAACTGTGTTGAGGGCAGGGGGAATAAATATAAATAGTATTTTCAGAAACTGTTATGCATATTTCAAGGCTTCTGTCTCATGGAAATAATGTACAGAATCAGTTGTAATTGTGTGGGAGATTGTGAATCCTTAAGGAAATATTTTGTTTGAAGCTGCTTAAGATATCCAGAGCTGAAGGAAAACTTCATCCATGAGAATTTTTGTAGCCTTGATGAAGTCTACTTACAGATGTTGAATTATTTCTTCTGTATGGACTTAATCTGATGTTCACTATATTGCTGCTTAGTCTATTGTTAACCAAGAGATTCTTAAATTTAGATTCAGTGTCCTCTAATGAACAATGTGCTCCTTCAAGGTCTCTTCATCTATATGTCTCTTGTATCCTCTTTGTTTTTAATTGTAATAATAATGCCCACCCAAAAGTATGTTGCCAGGGAGGAAGAGCTGTACTAAGCTGGGTTTGGGTAGCAGTCATCCTTAGGTGGACAATAGAAAACTGAGGTTGCTGACTGTTTCCTCTGAACAGATGATTTGAGAGCAACCTGCAGTTTTTCCTGCAACTGGCTCTGCATTGCTCTCTGCAGTGTTCTCCTAGGAAAGCAACGCTTTCAGATTTTGTTGAATATATGACAGTGTGTTCTTCCTTTACACAGGTTATTTTTATTCTTCCATGACACAATTGATACTTTAGCTTTATTTTGAGTTTTAGCCTAGGGGTTTTTTAAAAATTATTTTTAAATTTAAAGCATGTTAAATTTTCAGGATGGAAGATTGTACAATTTTTTTTTCCCTAAAGTAGAAAAAGTTAGTTGGGGTTAGTGGGGTTTTTGGGGATTTTTTTTGTTTGTTTGTTTGTTTTTTGTTATTCTTTGATGTGTGTGGAGTTGGTTTATTTGATTGCTTTTTTTACTTTGCTGATGTAATTTTTGGCAGGATGGAGTTTTCAAGATGAATCTTTCTCCTGATGGAGCTCTTCTGGCAGCTATTCATTTCTCAGGAAAACTCACAATCTGGTCTATTCCCTCCCTCAGACAACAAGGAGAATGGGGCCAAACTGATCAGGTAACACAGATGTAGATGTTTAGAAATTTACAGTGTATGTTTTAATCCTCTGGAGATATGTTTCCCTAGGAGATGAGAGTAGTTCAGATAACTGTGTTTTACCTACACACTGCCTTTCCAGTCAGCTGTATTTTTCAAGAGTGCTATATTTGCTTTTACAATAATTTTCTGGTTTTAACTATAAGCCTTAAACTTTAAAAATTAAGAAAAAGAACCAATTGTGTTGGGAAGAATTCTTCATGAGACATTTTGATGCCAAATGGGTAACACTGCTAGAGGTAGACTGAAATACTTTTTTTAAAATGTTAATGGAGGCCAACACAGCTAACTTTGCTTGAATGGTTGAAACTAAATTCTGCTGCAAGTCTAATGTGTTCATCTTTTCCTTTCTCAAAATTTACCTTACCCCTTTGCCAGACGTACTCCAGAATAGTTTGTTCATCAAATTGGTACTAGTAAGTCACATGCTTTCTACAGGAATTGTTTGCAAAACTAAGTTAGAAATTGCCCAGACACTGGTAAACTTTTACATGACTGGTGTGAATTTGAACACCGGGAATTGAAAGATAACTACTTCTCAAAGAAAATTCTAAAAGATTCCAAAACTCCAAATTTCCAAATTTTTGTACGATGCTTCAAATTCTTCAAGTTTATACATTCATATGAAGCACAGATAGCTTTTCCCACACTATACTGGATTTGTCTGCAGTCTGTTCATTGTGTAGTAGGTCCACAACAAAACACTTACTGACATTAAATAAAGGCACGGGTTCCCCTAATGAGGAAGAGGACAAAATGAAGGCGGACATCTTCCCTTTGGGTATAATGATGACAGTGAGGTTTAAATTTAACCTTTAAATGAAGGTTTTCAAGAAAAATTACAAAAAAAGATAGACTAAAAAACTTTGACTATAGGAAAGATTAAAATCAATAAATACCTGTAGAGATAACAATATGCTGCCATCCTGCACACTACTGATGTTATCTTTTTGATCTGACTGCAAGAGCAAGACTATTGACTTAGAAACAGGGCTATGTTGTTGTGTAGCTTAAGTTTTGGTTCTTACAGGTAAGCTGGTCAGGCTGTATTGATTATGAAACTATTCTGGGTCTGACAGGGATGGAGTTCATTTTCTTAATAGCAGCCCTTATGGGACTGTTTTGGATTCAAGACCAAAAGAGTGTTGATACCACACCAGTGTTTTAGCTATTGCTCAATAGTACTTACACAGTGTCAAGGCCTTTTCTGTTTCTCATTCTTCTCCTCCAATGAGTAGTTTGGGGATTCTTCTTCTCCAGTGAGTAGGTTGGGGGTGCACAACAACCTGGGAGGGGGATACAGCCTGGACAGTTGACCCCAGCTGATGAAAGTGATATTCCGTGCTATATAATATCATGCTCAGCAATAAAAACAGAGCAGGGAGAGGTTTTGAGTAGGTAGCCATGGCTAGAGACTGGGTGAGCATTGGTCCGCTTGTGGGTGGTGGTGAATGGTTGCCTTTGCATCGCTATTGTTCTTGGTTTTTATTCTGCTTTCCTTTACTTCTTAAACAATCTTTGTCTTGACCCATGGCTGTTCCTGCTTTTGGTCTTCCTATGCTCTCCTTTGCCTCACTGGAGAGGGGAGTGGTACTGTCAGCTGGGGCCAAACCACCACAGAAATGTAGTTACAAGCTTAAGAAAGTACTTTTAAAAAATAATAATAAAAAAACTGCAGCTGTATGTTTTATGTTCAGGAAAAGTTTGGATTTTTTGTGGGAGCGTTTTCATTGAAAAATAAGTGGGTCAGCAATAGATTAAATACCCAGATTGTCTGTGTTGCAAAGTCTTGCTTGCATATAATCCTTTTTTTCCTCTTGCACTTTAAAAATTTTATTTATTTTTTTTTTTTTTCAGCCAGGTTATGATGAGATCAATCCAGACTGGAGACTCTCTAGTGAAAAGAGAAAGAAAATAAAAGGTATGTGGTACAGTTAAGTCATTATTTTATACCACTGTGTAGTTAAAAGCATTTACACAAATATACAAAGATCTGAAGTGCCTTAATTAAATCTCAATTAGAATAGCTGCCAAATTTGTATATATGATTTGAATTTGTAGCATGGCATAGCTAAATGACTGTCACAATAGGTTTTTTGAAAGTCATCTCTTAGGAGTACTTTTGTAGCCATAACCATAAATAAGAGGCTATTTCAGTTATTACAGGACTTCATTTATTATTAATCATGCAATTATGACTCTGTAGAGTGCTGAACATTCAGCAGATGTCTCAGCTTGTGTCAGAAGCCACTACATCATAATATCGTAGGTAACACATTATTAGAGTCCACAGTTTAAAACCTAAACTTTGCCTTTTCTTTCTGTGAATAGCTAATAAATTTTGAAAGCTAATGTAATTTAAACAGATTGGTTTAAAATTCTGAAACAAAAGGGCTTTGTTTCCTCTGGGTGGATTTACCTCATGTCAGTCTCTCTATTCTTTTCCCAAAGTTCAGGTCACTGTGTACAGCCATTTATCACCTGATTATTGCTTGGCTTTTCCACGAGTGCAGAGATCAATAGTTATTCTGTGGTCTATTCACTATTGCTTGTATACATCTATATTATTGAAAGATCCCTGTGTCTTCGTACTGTTTTTCTTGGTGATTCTGTCTTTGGATTAACTCATCTGATCTTCATGGGTGGGCTGCTGACTAAGCACTGAAGTGGCAGGAAAGTGATTAGCTGATCTGTTTCTCAGTGGGGGAGACCACCATTGGGGAATGGTGGTTTTCATCAGAGAGGTGGGAAATGACAATGTAGTGAACAAGTTGAGGTAACTCTCTGGTGAACATCTTGTCACAAAATCTAGTTACCATAATCAATACAATCTTAGAAATTACACAGCTTCCATACTCAGTCACAGTGACTTTTGTGTGTGTGTGTTGTTGGTTTAATTTCTTAACACCCTCATCTTGCAGGCTGTTTCAGGAGCCTTGTTCATAGTTGTCATTTGACCTCAAAAACAGTGTAACCTTTTCTGATTTGAATTGGTATTATGTTTGTTGCCAGGCAGATTTGGTCAAGGATGGCCTGGGAAGTATTGAAGCAGATCTTTATCAAATATCTAAAATTTGTCATGTTTTGTACAAATAAATCAGTTTACTATGACTTCTTTTACTAAATAATATAAAAAAATGTCCAAAATTAAGTGTGTTTTCCCCTCAGCAACTTTAGTTAATGCAGAACTGATTTAGTAAAATATCATTGATCTAAAATACAAAAGTAGTGAACCAAGGATGCGTATACAATAATAAATGTTTGTTAAATTGAGCCATAAAATGAAATCTCTTAATAATTGAAGTAACTTCTGTTCTTATCTGGTGTTTAAAGTTATCTTTCTTTGTTTGGCACTTTCTTATGTATTTATTTTAGATAAAGAATCCTATTACCCATTGATAGATGTAAATTGGTGGGCAGATAATTCTGTCATCCTGGCTCGCTGCTCTGGTGCATTGACTGTGTCATCAGTCAAGACGTTAAGAAACTTGCTGGGAAAGTCATGTGAATGGTTTGAGAGTTCTCCTCAGGTCACTTCAGCTCACGATGGAGGATTTCTAAGTCTGGAGGTGAGGAATGAGCACAGGCAGATGTCTTTGTGGAATGCAGTAGAAGCAGTCTGCTTTTCTGCATGTAATCCTAAGGGTGTTATGTGTATGTGTGGTATGATTTTAAAAAAATATAAACTATTATTACTAATGGGAAAAGTGATTCTGTTTCCTTATCTCTAGGTAGATATTGCAGGGAAATTCTGAACTTGCTGCAATTCAGCTGTCTTAATAAAAACTTAATTGGCAAAGAACTTCTAGAGAGTAGATGCAAAACTCCTAGAAGGCCAAGTCTTAATGAGAGGAATTTTGCTGCAGGAAACAGTTTGCATCAATAGTTTTCACTGCTTTATATATTAGTGCATTTGAAGAATACTGCAAGCATCCCTCTCCCATTTTGAAACAGATGCCTCTTACAGAGGAAGGCTATTTGAGAGAAATGAGGAACGCATTTAAATTAAGACCAAGCAATGTAAGAGATCTATTTTTGTTCATCTTCAGTAGGATTCCAGGAAGGAGTAGAACATAACTTTGGTCAAGAAGTTAACCAGGAATTTTCTTTGAAATGAAGAAAATTACTGTTTCCTAAGGCTTACGCTGAAATAGGTCTTAAATACCTTAAACAAAAGTTTAAAATAATATTTATCAGAATATCTCAATATGCACCAAAGCTTGCATGTATATTTTTTTTGCAGTAATCTGTGTTATTCTGTAAATTGCATCTAGCCAGTGACCAGCTTACAGAAAACCTTACTTTGGACAGCTAAGATTTGAAGACATTGCTGTACTCTGCAGTAAGCTATGTAACAGTGTACTGAGATGTCTCTGTAGTTCTGTGTTGTCCAGGGTGGTGTAGCACATTTAGAGTAATAGTGGGTTACTATTAAGAAACCTTTACCCTTGCTCCAGTAAGTAAGAGATGAAGCCTCAGGTCTAGGAGACAGACCCAGTCAGGGTTTCTGGAATATATTAAGCGAGCAGAGAAATAAAAGATTTTACAGGAAAAGGGGAGGCAGGGTATTGCTTCTGAAAGTTGAAGTACTGGATGTGGAGAGGTACTTAATTCTGACCAAACCAGTTGAGATGTAGTAGGTGGACGCTTCTTATTCTAAGCTTAAAAATTGTTTTCTGTGCAGTGTGAGATAAAACTCATTCCAAAAAGATTGCGCTTGGAAAGCAGACCTGGTGATGAAGATGAGGGAGAAGATGACTCTGACTCAGATGATGAAACTTCTGCTAAGGACAGATACTTCAGCTACCTAAAGCAAGGCCTGTACTTTGTGACAGAAATGGAACGATTTGCTCCTCCGCGGAAACGTCCACGTACTATTACAAAGAATTTCCGCCTTGTCAGTTTGAGATCCACGACTCCAGAGGAACTGTACCAGAGAAAGGTGAGTATAGAAGGAAAGGTTGTATCTGCTGATGAGCTTTATTTAGAAATAACTTTTTATTTTATTTTAAAAAATTCTTTCTTTCTTTCCTTCTTATAGAAGGATTTAGGCACATGATTCTAAGGGTTTCTAGTTGACAGTGTACTGTGTTAACTGATCTAAGGGATAGTTGTTTAAAACCAGCATTGTAATAATTCAGGTGAGATGATGTTTGCACATCACTGAGAAGACACTGTGCATCATTAGCTTGTCCAGACTTGGAAGTGTACTCATGTGAGCATTTACAAATAATGAAAGGCTTGGCAAATATATCGAATTAAATTAGTTTAACTTGTTAATTGGCCAGGGAATGGGTTAAATTCTCTGATGTTAATGTAGTTTACTTGCATATTTTTTCAGGCATACAAATTAGCCCTTTCACTCACTCTTATTAAAGAACAGATACTTCTTAATGTTTAAGATCACTCTGGAGAATACTTTGTCTAGGCTGTTACAATTGTTCTGATGGTAAACCAGACAAGTCCATAGCTATTAGTGTTTTCAGGGCGTGCTGATGTCATATCAGTTACCTAAATAACTTCTTCCTTTTTCTTGAGGAAAAATCTCTGATTTTCTAGAGGTTTCTGTCAGATCTGAGTCTTACTCATCCATATCTTCAACAGTTCTCTTTCCTGCCTGATTAAGCATACCCACAGTAATTATCCCTCTACTTTTTTAACACACGGAATTAATAATGGTTGTTTAATATGGAAATCAGATTACTTTCATTTTCATGTGTTTGCATTTCAGATTGATAATGAAGACTATGGGGAAGCTTTGTCTTTAGCTCAAGCATATGGCCTTGATTCTGATCTTGTGTATCAAAGACAGTGGAGGAAGTCGGCTGTTAATGTTGCTTCAATTCAAGACTACTTGGTGGGTTTGTTTTTTTGTGACCTGTAGGCTTTCTTATCAGAATGGCTGCATTATCTTCACAGAAGCTGAATTCTCAGTTGCATTCTAATTTATGCAACATAAGTTGGTGGCAATTTGAAGAGCTATCCTGCAAACTGCACTTCATGTCATATGGAAGAGAGGGTCTTGTTAATTTAGCTGAAGACCTGATCCAGGGACCTTGGAAGTTAACAGAAATCTTTTATTTGGAGTATCTTCTAATTTCCATTAATAGCTACATACTTTCTGTAGTGTAATCTCTCCCCAGCATGCAGCAGTAGATTGTTGCATGGCAAATAAATAATAATAATTGGAAATATAAAACATTTAAATAACTTCAAAGTATTTTAGAAAATTAAATGAGAAGATTAAGTTGGTATCAGTAGTTATATAGCCAAGGTTGAATAACAAAGTTTAATATAAACTCTGCTACCTGTAACTGGAGTTTTTCAGTAGAATGCATAGTGGTTTGTTTTGGGGTTTTTTGGGCTTGGAAGAAAGACCTTAAACTCAGCAGACAAGCATTGTTAAAGATGCCCAGCCTAATGGTGCTATAGTGTAAAGTCTTCCAAGGGATCAAAAGAAATCTAACTTTTTTTTTTTTTTTTTTTTTTTTTTTTCCCCCAAGTCAGATAATAATTTATTGTCAAAATAAATTTTAGAAGTAACGGTTCTCCATGTGCTCTGTAGTCTTAATGGAAGATCAGCATATAAGGCCAATTATATGTTGTGACCCTGGTTTACATTGCCAGTCATCAGATTAACTTGACATTTTCTTAAGCAGAAGAAACACATCAGAAGATTTTCACATCTCTGGTTTCACTGCTTTGGATTGAAGCATGTAACATTGTGCCTATGCTCTTGTTCTTGGACAGAGCAAAATTAAGAAGCGTGCGTGGGTTCTCCATGAGTGCTTGGAAAGAGTTCCAGAGAATGTGGATGCTGCTAAGAAGCTGCTTCAGTATGGCTTGAAAGGCACAGACTTGGAGGCTCTTGTAGCCATAGGAAAAGGAGAAGATGGTGGCAGGTTTGGGAATAGTAATTTTTTTTTTGTTTGTTTGTTTTCTTTTTAAAGAATGATGGATGAAATATTTTCTAATAATTTGGTATAAAGGTTTTTGGTTTGTTTTTTTTTTTTTTAAATCATCCACTAATGAAAATGTTAACATACTTCTGAAGGAGATAGAAAGGTAATGCTTTGAATCAAACTATTCTAAAGATTTCCACAAGTTACTTGTTCTCATTTTACCTTTGCAAAAGTTTACCTTTACAAGTTTACCTTTTGCTGCTTTACAAAGGTAAAAATACTATTTATTTTGTACTGCATTTTCCTTCTTCTCTGGATGCCTGTTATTTTCTCCATTATAGAGACCTTCTGATTTCATTATTTTTCTATGAGCATCTGTTTCTACTGCCTCTTCTGGAAGCTGCAGATACTCCTATAAAGGCATTTGATTGTATATCTTAATTGTTATAATGATCATCTGTTGTTTACGTTGGG